AGTAAGAGAAACACGTGGAAAGGAAAGAAAGGAGGCATCAGCAGTAGCCTGTTTCCACCAATCCGCCCTGATGTACGCAACAGATATGGCGATCCTTGATAGTCTGCGCGACGGCCGATGCAGGATGTGACTGAAGTTCGAAGAAATAGTCATGGTTGTACATGAGCTGAGATATACCAGGGCTCCCAGATTAAGATAAGAGGACGATTAGGGTCCTTAACCAAAGCCTTTAACTCAGGAGTTTGTCTGCAAGGCAGAGGGAAGATAGCAATTATTTAGTTTTACAGAAATGGATGTCATCCCATTTCGAACCCCCAACCTAGTGAAGCAGGAGACTAAGTTTGTTTGATCTGTAACCATTAACAAGCCTGGTAGGAGTAACTCTCAAGCGGCCCCGAGGCACCACCCAGTCCAATGGGTCGAAGACGTACGCAAACCGTCGTACCACGTTAAGGTCCAGTCTTGTGGTGGTTGGTCCATTTCACAGAAAAGCCTCTGTATTAATCTACTAGATTTTCCTGTTGGTTCTCTTATCATTATTAGTGTGCCTGTTGCGGAAATAGGTATGCCAACTAGGCCGGCGAGATTGCGGGAGACAGGCGCACATACAAGAGCCGATCACACCAATTCTTCAAGCGCTCTACGTCAGTTTACTACCATAACAGATATTTCACTTGTTGATGATAATGTGTCACTCCGCGCCACTCCGCATTTGCATCAAGGATGTTTAGTTTAGCTTTGCTGGTCACCGGCAAATTGAGGGCTTTGCGATGGGAACTCCGCTTTGACCAGTCTGACCTCTTGATGGACTATCCGGAGAATAACCAATTACGTAGTACCATGGAGACGACACGGTTCTACGCCCTGTACATTCATGACATTTTTGGTCGTTGATACTGCTCAGATGGCGGAGAGCATGGAGGAATTAAACCGATGTCACCCAGAGATCAATTTCACGATGGAACCAGAGTCGGGGTGACATTTCACTTATTTAATGTTTCTTTGAATTGATGGCCAGATGGATCGCTCATATGGTCGATTTGTTATAAACCGAGCCGGACAGGTGAATATCTAAACTTTAAAAGCTACTGCCCTTTGAACTATAAGCGTCATTGTTTTGCACCTGTTTAACGGGAGCTCGCCGAATATTCGGAAACATCGATCGTGATTGAATTACATTGCACTATATCAATACTACTCGATAATGGATATTTCAGTAAATTTATCGCTAAATATGGGGAATATCGGAAAGTATAGGAAAAATAAAACTACCCGATGTTCCCATGGTGACGGTGGTCATTACCCTATTTTCCAAAGGGGAACAAAATGATAATCGGTTCTGTCATCGGCTACATCAATCCGTAAAGTGCTGCTATTGTGCACCTGAGCTAGTGCTTCTTCACCAAACCAGGAAATTGCATGATTCCAGGCTAGATAAACCTCTCCCTTAAGTCACCACCTCCTGCGTTTACCAGTTTAACTGCACGTGCGATAGCATGTACATTAGCCGGTCTGATAAAAGATTCTCAACAAGGATTGTGGAGCGCGTTCTGCGAAGACTATCGATAAGCGGTCCTAAGGTACCTAACAAGGACCGTGCACCCCCGTCCCCTCCAGCAATGACCAAATGTCTCCCGGAGCTAGTATGGACAAGGTAGTGGATAATAGACAGGTAGGCACCTTGTAAACATGTACATGAAGCGCTGCCACACCGGGGATATCAAACTACAGTGTCACTTGGAACGACGAGATCAAATAAAATAAATCGGTTAATGCATACGGTGGCATACCTGTTCAATAAATGATCATATGAAATAAATTGGTTGCCTAAATATCCGCTATGGGTTCAAGACGTCAGAAAATATATTTTAAGAAAATGTCACAAACGCGAAATGTTATCAAAGTTAACTACAATTAACTTGAACGACGTGTGCAAGTTAATAGATAGTTCACGTAGACATTAATGAGACAATATAGCAAATCCACCACCTGAAATAAAGAGACCCAGCATGCAAGCACGCGGTTAGTAAATCGAATGTAGCGTACCTACAAACGCTGCACCGATTGTCTTCGTTCTCTGCAGAACCCGTCGTCCTTTCGGTGTTGGCTCCGAGTGGTCTCGCTCACGGCTCGCTGGGCCTGCCTGACTCAGGCACTCGCGACCGCATGTGCTACAGCACCATGCGCTCGATATCGATGTATTACAACCCATCGGCACCTGTCACTTCCGCACTTGCCTCTTCTCCGCATGCACGAGGTCTTTCTCCTGCACCTCGGCAACTGCCTTCGTGATCAGATCGCGCCATGCACGCCGATCAATCACCTTCGATTCCCATGACCTGCAATCAAGATTAAAACGCTGCCCTTGGTAACGCTACTGGTCACCGGGATGCAGCATGATTTTCACTTCTTACTGCTTGTGTTCTGCCATTAAGATGGGACGAAAACCAAGAGAGTAATGGGTCAGTTATATCGGAGGATGCCAAGGTTATCAAAAATCTGTTGTATGGTCAAAGGTCTTCTTTATATCCAGAAATATAACATCCTAGCATTTACCCTCCTCGACAAATTTTGTGATGTGATTTAATAGTTCCAGGTGACAGGACTGGAAAGAATGATGCTTTATGAAACCGAATTAATAGGTTTTTGAAAATTTGAAATTTACACGTCTTTTCCTTTATAACCCCTTCCATGACTTTAATCAAGATAAAGGTATGGCTAATTGGGCGATTGTTTTGTTACATCCTTTTTTAAGATCCTTTCATTACTTAGAATCTCTTCAGCATGCTTCCATTGGTATAGTGCACATGTTCTGCAGCAGCATAGGGATGTAATGACCACCATCAGGCCATCGTAAAACGATGGCTTTAGGGAGCTGAGGTTCTTTATTTCTGTTTGTGTACAGTCTGTTGCCCCCAAACTATCGGTCGAACGCAAATTTAATGGAGCGATTGGCTTTGCGTACGAGGCGTCACTAAAGAACTAACGGATGTGCTGATTAAAAACCGCAACTAATCGCGCTATCCTCAGTTGTGGCTGGTGTAGACAAGGCAATAGATATAATGTCAGCATTTCGGAGTTTGTTCCCATATTTAAGTAGCTCAGCTAGGATAACGTAGTCGGGCTACTTTTTGTTTGTTGGAACCTGAGAGAACTCGGCGTTCTTCGGAAATGCGTCTTTCAATTCTGCCTGCTTTCAACCTGCTGATTTTTCGTTTAGTACTGGCAAGAGTAATGATGTTTTTAACATTTCACCCCTGTATCCTATCTTTGACAACGGTAAGCAGGTCCAGACATTTGTTGGTATATCGATAGAATGCTTCGACTGCCATTTCAGGGCCGCATGTAAGAAAGAACGTATCCCATTGATTCGACCTTAACACTGATGCGAACACTTCCCACTCAGTCAAACGATTATAGCCGGTAAGACGTGATGCAAGATTCGGGCTTTTTAACTCTTTCGGACAATCTGATGCTGAATGCCACAAGGTTGTGACCACTACTCTGAATGCTATCCAAGGTAGTGACTTTTCCATTTAGGAGGCTCGAGGTCAAGAATGTTTCCATTCCTTGTCGGAGATAGAACATGTTGGGTCCAACCTTAGGTGCAGATGCTAGAGACAAATTCAATCAGTCTGTATGGTGAAGTATAAGTGTGTCAGTTAATTTCTGGTATATTGAAGTCGTCTCCAACTAACTTATAGTTGTCTGGGCTATCTGAGATGTAGTCAATTATTTCAGTAAGTCCTCTGATAGTGACGGCTTGTGGACACAACTGATGAGGACGCTGAAGTCATTTATCACTGCTGTAATCCATGTTGCGTCAACGACATTCTCAAGCTAAAGGCGACGAAGGGATCATTTTATCAATAAAAGTAATGCAACTTCTCCCCTGCAACTGTGGCGATCGCTTAAATGGCTGTTATACCCTAAACTATGGTGTTGGAACTCATGCGTCTGATCGTTGAACCATGATTCCGTGATCATAACTATCTGGGTGTTCAAGAGATATACAGATGACGGATAAATTGCGCCTTATTGTTAAGATAACATGCGTTAATAAGAAACCTTGAAATTCGTTTGTGTGTTAGGTAAACCTATGATTTGTTTAACTATGGGTAGTTGAGAGGTATTAGAGCTGAACTAGGAAACCACGTCGATGAGATTGATTGCTGGGGATTCGATACTCTCGTATTCCGCTGGATTAATTAAATTAGTTGGAAAAGGATACCCTTTGCACTCTGATGCAGTTGCGGCTCCCTTATCGGCGACAGATATGCCACTGGATGACCTAAATGGTTTGGTGGGTTTAGAATTGGCTGTAGAATTATGCTGTTTGGTCTTTCAGTGGAACCGCTTGTTCAGATGAATAGTGTAGCGGAGGTTGTCGTAATGTAGCTGGTGGAAAGTTTACTAGGGGAAATTTCTCCGGATGTATTACAGCGTCACTGTATATGTACTCATTATCATATCTAGGAGGATTCAACCTGTGGCCGTGGTACGACAATATTGGGCGGTTTTTCGTCTCTGTAATCGTAGACCTTTGGTTCATAGTCACTGGTTCATGCACTGGATCTACTCTGGTTAGTAGATTGTAGGGAGGAAGCTGATCGTATGTTTTACAGGCTTTGGTATATGAGCTGAGTTGGTGATCATGATGTGACCCTCCAGCGGGAGCTGCAGATTTTTGGGAAGCACGAGGATCAGAGCCATTTTTGTCCTCAAATAAGACGATGTCTCATTGTGTAGTACAGCTGCTATCACCTCTTCCATAATCATTCTCTCCTTTCCCCTCTCTACTAGCTTCCCGTCTAATCGTCCTTGCGATACCATCGTTAGGTTTACTCGTTTTACTCCTCTGGCCATTCTGGACAAGTAGTTGGTGTTATAACTAGTTTTTCAAGTGGCCTGGCATTTTTGAACCTGTTCGAGACTGATTTCTCTGGTTCACTCCATCGAAATGCTGGGTCTTGAACTGCTCTATTTTCTTCTAATACCAGATATTTCAACTTTAAATACGTATCTGGAGAACATTTACTCTTCCGACGTTGATTCCGGCGGTGAATTACCTTTTTCATGGCTTGTGGGTTTACCAGCCCTGGCTAAGTTGCTTCTTCAAAGACTTAAAGATAATTTATCTGCATCTGGACTGCTTTTGCTCAGTGGTGAGTACTGTATCTTCTTTCCTCTTTATCTGATTAGTTGTTTAGTTCGTTTCACTTCATCCACTTTTGCTATGAATCCGTGTCTCTTATTATCGTTTTTTGGACAACTACCTCAAATCTTAAAAGTAAGATATATATAGTGCCCTGTAAATGCTCCGTTTCTCTGGTCTATCTTCTCATTCCATACTACGTTTGCCTTCCTTAGATCACTCGGATCAACGATCATGAATCGTATCTTAGTTTGTGCAGTTTTTGTACCTGTAGCTCTCCTCGCATTATGTTTGTTGCGAACATCTGCCCATCATTCTGATGCTTCTGTCATTCTCTACACACTTCAGACTGCTTTTGCTTTCGCCGTCAGGCGCTCTCACCGTCGTTTAGTTTATAATAGTGCTAATAACATCCACTGCATCGGGACCAAGCATCCATTTATTCAATCGCTTCGGCTATCTCTGGTTCTCTCGCTGCACGCATCTGCTCTGAGCAACCGGTTGTCCTACGTAGTCGCGGAACGGTTGCTACCCTTACTCTAGAGCATGTTGGCCGACGAACGAAGTTTCCTAGACGCAACAAACGGAAGCGTTATCTCTTGAAAGCTCAATGACTTTAATAGCACAATAAGTGCATACACAGGGCACCGGTTCGGAGTCGATGCACATCGAACCTACAATGGTGATTCATTCCTACATATATGCGCCCACCATACCCCTCATATTAGCAACAGTGCTTTCTAGCACACGTTTACATCGCGTCACCTGACGCTCACCGAATTCCGCGCTAACTTGGACAAAAATTGACCATGTCGCCATCAGTTATAGATGGCACACCAGTCCAAGATTGTTGGTCAATCTGGATTCCGGTCATACTCTTTTGCGCGTACGCCTGGCGCTCAATCTCCCCACTTAGAAGAAGCTCCTAATTCCTAACCTTCTTACTTCTAACTTGAACTCGTAGTCCGAAGTTCAGCAATCTCGTGACTAACTGGCCCACTAATTGTCATTGACGAATTAAATTGGTGAACTGAACGCTAACTGGAATCGTCCCAACTGTAGAGTCCAAAAGGAACTTTGGATTGCTTACACGAAGACACGGTATCTCCATTCCCTAATTATGTTGCTCATTTACACTGCTTTACTGTGTCCTACAAGCGGTTAACATATCGTATATTTATTCCTCTCACTCGATCACTGACACATCCTTGACGTTTCAAGGACATTCATACTATTATGTTACTGTGATACTGCCCAAATACTCGCACCGCCCCACGCTGTACAGTTTCTGCCCACTTGCACTACGATTGCAAAACCTATTCGTAAGTCATGTACTGTATTTAATATGCCTTATAGAACCACGGTTACAGGATAATTCGTTTTATTCTTCTGCCCAGATCGTGCGTTAAGTCTAGGTTTATTTGTTCGTAGTTTCTAGTTTAGTTTTCGTACGACGTACTTAATTTAGGCTTCGTATCGTTGGTACAACAACTGCATGAAAAATGCTTTTGACGCCTACTGTGCACCCAACTTGAGAAGTCCACGAAGCGAATGAATCTCTGAAGCCTCAGCCAGTTTGATCGAAGCACGGAAACAACTCTTAATGGGTACTGAGTTTCCGAGTATCCGCAGCGCCGTGAAACAACAACTGACAATAAATGTTTGAATTAACGGAGTACCTTGGTGGACGGCCGAGGGCCCGTGAGATGGAGAAACGCGGTACTATTGGGAACAGCCGAGTCAGCGGTTCTAATTCACGTAGGTGCGGGCGATCTTACGGGATACTTAGCCCATACGCAACCGTTGGTGGTCGTGTGGCAGCGAAGCGTCAGTATAGTATTCTGGTATATTACTGATGTTGTTACCTGCCAAGAATGTTCACTAATGTCCGGTGGTGCACACGATTCTGTGGGAACTCGGTATTATTTTTCGCTCTTGCATCAAATATACATGCCACTATTGATCACTTAAAGTTATTTGTTCAGGTTACCAAGGAGCTCGGTAATCTTTGCAATCATGCTCCTGTAAATAACATTGCTTCTCATCACGCTTTTGATTTGACTGTTTCAGAAAGTTTGGCTAGTCGCTGGTTTCGACAATGATTAACGACGTTCACGCAGGTTTTTATTTTCGACTGAATCTTCCTGCTACTGTGTCGAACCTGGAGTATTTGGAACATCTAAATCATCACTGAACAAATGGTGCTCGTGGATTCCACTCGCACGTGCTGTTTGTAACTGGTCTATCCGCTTACTTGCCTTACCTCATGTCTAGGTGCTTTGCTATTGCGTTGTGAATTGACTATTGCTTGATGCGCTGTTCGATGGCTTCTTCCCTCCGATTGCTTTTGGATCAATCATCGCGGTTAGTGACACACCTTGACATAGTTAATCGTTGACTATACCACTACACTACTCCCTGGAAGTATGGACCTGTGATGACACATCGTGAAACTTACATCCCTTCATTTTCTTACATCGATGCTTCATTTGCCTCCCTGGAACGATTTCTCCTTTTACACCTGCTATTTTGGTATATTACTGTTTGGTTTTTTTTCGAATCGCATCAGTGATTTCACTGCCGCGCATGGTAAAACTTTGTTATTATCCGTTTCGCTTAGTCGATCTCTGCGATAATGATCAAAACGTATCCTGGACGAATCTATTATACTTGGACATCAATAATCTTATCGGACTTATTCGGGTGGCATCTGCTCACTCCTTTTATTCTTGTTCCCTCTACAGTTGAGAGTAATCTGCATCTACAGGTATTCGCCTTCTTCAACGGGACTGAGCAAGGTCTCCTAACTGACAATTCGTCTACTGATCTGCCATCGATACCTTTTCCACCCAAGTTGGTTATTCAAGCTCACGTTCGCCTTTCGCAGCTGCGCGGAGAGCCGGTGAATGTTGTTACAGAGACTCTTGCAGCATCTACCTTTTCTGGATGGCTGTCCCCACTTCCCATCTCATCATTGGCTATCGGTGACATTGTCTACCTGGAGGTGCGTTACCATGTCGTCATCGATCACCAAGCATTTCCATATATTTCATGGAATATCGTTTGCCATCTGTTCGCAGGGTAGCGTTGCTACTTATGTCTGGTCATCTTGCGCTCCTATCTATTTGTTTGTGATGCATTTTCCGTGAGTAATGGTTCTCCACGCAATATTCGTTAACGAAATGCAGCAGTCAGTAGTGTCGAAGTTGTTTCTGCCTGACCAAGTGTCCCATGAATTTCTTAAGCACGGTTTTTTTCAAAACAACCCGCGACTGATGTGAGCCGCGTCCACCATTCTTTCAGCTGTCCGGATGCTCTTTTGGGCCGGCGACAATGTGACTAAAACCTCAAGTATTGATTTCCTTGACTGCAGGTAAAACCATTCGCCGTCACGACCAATTTTGAAGTTCAACGTAAATCCAGATTAAAGTAGCAAGGTTTTCAATGTCGTTTCCAACTGTACTGTGCTCCACTAGTCTGTACTTCTGTTCTGTGGGTGGAGACAGGTCAGTCGAACTTCGAAACGGCCACTTTGTGGCTTCCAGGATAACAATCTGTGATCCATTTCGATGTACACCACATTTCGACGGCAAACGTTTGGTACTGGAGAAAGTGTAAGCTAATGATCAGCGGACTCACCATTTTTATTTCGAGAGTGCTGGAATTGCTCTTGAACTAATTGCCACATGGCTGTGGCCTCGTCAGTAATACTTCCAGCGCACGTTTTCCATTATCTTTTAATGTCAACGATTGCAGAAAGAACAGAAGAAAATAAATATATTCCTCTTGATTGGTACTTAAGACTCTGCAGGTCAAGTAATACCTCAATTACACACATGTCATCGCCAACTCCTTTCAAAAAAGAGAAGCTAGGTGTTGTCATATGCATCAGTACTGTCATCACAGGCTGTCGAAGAAAAGTCAAATTTTGCTCCTTTTCCTTCTACTTAATATCAGAGGAGATATCTTCAATTCTGCGGACCAGTGTTGCCTGCCAGGCAAACATTGACGAACTGTTGATTTTTCTCAGGACAGATAATTCCCACCATTTTCATCCTACATTTTTTGATAAATTAACCTTCAGTATGTGGTTTACAGTGTTTCCCTATTCGTTTTGCCACTTCATAACTCGCTTTTGTCGCATTTTCATTCAACTGATCGATTCTGACAAGCAAGATTTGCTGTGAGGTTATCCCAGCTTCCAGTTGCTTCAATTTCTAAAATTCGTTCATTTTTGGTTAACTTGTCGTAGTATGTTTGGTTTATTAGGGCCTTATGACATTAACTTCCTTGAAAACAGCCATACTCTCCAAACAATGGGAGATACGGGCATGAAAATGAACTTGTTAGATTATATGAGCTGGATCTTTTATTACTGGCAGCGGATTTGTTTTGTTGCAAACATATTACCAATCAAGGTGTGTCGTCGTTGCACTCCATAATACACTAACTCACTTGCGGTATCAACTCGATTTATGGCGAGACCTTTACAATGAAATTACCAAGTTCAGCGAAGTGCTTGACCATTAGCAGAAACATCCGCTTTTATCATGGATGTCTTTTGTGGATCGGCAACTATTTTTATACATTATGCCGCACCAGTATGAGGTAAACTCTCGTTGTTTTTATATTTTCCAGTGGTCTTTCCACATGCTGCAGCATACACTTTTCGGTCTACTTGTTATGGCTACACTGGATTCAGTTAGCGAATTCCGAGCTTGTCATTCGATGTGTTTCTCGCAACATTGTCTTTCCACCTTTTTTCTCTCTCGCTCCCTATATAGCTTGTGCCGCTGTTATTTTCATGCCTGTGTTCCTTATCGCTTCTGATATTTTGTTCCTCATTCCTGTTACCACTTGTTGTGGTTGGATTTAATTCTTTAATTTTAATCCGACCGTCAACTTTTCACGAACTCATCTTCCTTTACTGAGCCTACTAATAATTAATGAGAACAATTAATGTTAAGCGAAGTGCAAACACCAACAAACAATAAAACTAGCTTAACGGAAAAGAATTGCAAGCGTTCAATTCGGCCGATTGATAGACGTATGAAATAGATAGACGTATGATAGACGTATGAAATATGAAACATGCGCCATGTTGGATAAAGTCCTTAATCGCTGACGCTGCCAATTCCGTTGCCCACTATTTTGACTCATTTCTACGATCAATCTCTTAATGTATCTTTGCCACTTTATTGACTGGCCACCCTTTGGCTTAACACAGCAAGATACTAAATTGGAAAGCAAAGCTCTTGGTCAGTTGATCAGCGGACACTTTCGAGCCAATGGGGACAGTTTGAGTTCGATGCACGTTTCACGGCACTTTAGGGGTTGTTTCCAACCAGCTTGTCGCGATCTTCCGCATTCCTGGCTTTCAGTAGACATGTGCAGTCACACCAACACCTGTACCTACAATGCTGCATCACCCCGTATGCTTTCGATGCTCTTTGTCTCTGACTGAGATCATCTTGTTTGCGAATCGCACACCATACAAACGATTTGTTACCACTTGTGTTTTTGACTACTTGGTGTTTGCGGTTACGTGAAATCTCGGGTGGGTGTCTGGTCAAGTTACACACAAACTAGTGATACGTCTCGTCTGAGCGGGCAGAAGTAGCTCCAAGTATACAATCCTCCGTTGATAAAATGCTGGTGTTCAACCTTTCTAGCGTAGTAAAACAAGTAACACACAAACATTCAACGATCGAAGTCCCTTTTTCGCTATAATGGTACCTAAGCTATTGCTTAACGAAGGGATGCGGCCGCTGACAAAATATGGGTTGGGGGACTATTTACATATTACCAGTAGCATAATGACCTACAGTTTGTAATTTGTGTATAATGTTATTCCAGGTTGATAACATCGCCAAATGACCATTCAGTCACAACTCTCACTTTACTGTTCCTTCCCAATTTTCTTCTCCTTCTGGTGCAGCCACTGCATGTCCGAGCTTTCTTTTCATCTAGTGTTACAACCTCCTGAAATTAATTGCGACTGATGCTCATCAGGTTTATTACTTCTCATTGCTCGTTATAACTGGAATTTTCCAAATCTTGTTCACTTCTATGTCAATCTTTTGTTAGAGCTTTTTGATTTGTAGCAGTCTTTCCATTCTTGTTTACCTGCGTCTATTTCTCAGCCCACGACTATGTATTTTCCTTTGTTTCTCCAGGTGTCCTCCATGTTTGACAACAAAGAACAGCTGGTGCGAAACTATCCTCGCCTCTATTCAAGTCACGATCAACTACAGCTAATCGTGTTTTGGAAGGGCAAACCGTTCTTATCTAACCAACACAAAACGGACTCCCATATCATTCGCTTCCTATTGGAAACTCCCCGCGGTGTCTCCTGCGCATCCCCTTCCCCCATGACACTTAACAACGGTCCAAATACGCAGAGCGCCTACGAATGCGAGACTTGTTTACTTTCAGTAACTCCTTTGACCTTTCTTCTGCCTAATTGTTCCCTTGTTCCCGGCGCTTGGCACCTCACAGTTTTTTCTGAAAGTGGTCAGAAATCACACACCTCATTTTTCTTGCTTCCAACAGATGCCCCGGTTTCCCCAGTGCATTTAGCTCAACCGTCCTCACCCTGGAGTGACGTTTACCCATTATCATACTGCTTTATCCAATCTACTCCTCTGGGTGATGTGAAGTCCCTTGAAGTTGTTGAACGACTAAATTGTCGCAACCAGATATGGAGTTCTTTCGCCCCTGATCCCAAATCGGAATTGGTTTTTTAGTTGTCACTAACATTTGATTTCATTATATTTATGGTTTATTTGAAATAAATGGTCTATTATTTATACGCAAATACATTTTTCCTCTATTAATGTTTTATTCTTACGACGGTGTATCATTCCTATTTTCTGCCCGTTCATCCGATTTTTTTGCACTTGCCGGTGCGTAGTCTCATCGAATAGCCTCTTGGCTATTCTTTTGTTCTTTATTCGTAGACATTAAAACGAAATCATAGCTACTGACTGAATTGCAATCTACATCTTGGTTACTGACCAGCCATCTGTCGATTCAGATGGTAGCTTTTCGGAAAGTTATTTGTAGTTAACATTAGAAAGGAGAGCCCTGGTCTTTCGGCACAGAACTCGGTCACAATTTCTTCGACAGGCTTATTCCTTTTTCTCTGATCAACGCCTTATCTGGACCCCAAGTTGCGCTGATTCTGTCTGAAATAGGTATTCTGTAGCCACTTTTAGTGAAATTTCTTCAAGTTCTATCTTGCGGCATTGTATTAGACTAGCTTTTAATGTTTTGTGTATCTCAGTGGTTTGTCAGGTTATAGCAAGCAGCGCTTTCCAGGTCACTTTTGGGAGGACAGGCAAACTCGGACCCAGCATCCTATTCGCACAAAATCAAGGAAGGTCCAAAGTGTCATCTCCGTCGGCGGGAGCATCATGAAGAGCCACATCAGTAGTTGCAGACTTTATTTGACATGGCGTAGTCGCTGACTAAGCGTTATTCCCACACTCGTTTTCGTGCATCTAGCGTTTAACATTGCGTCCCGTTTAATTTTGCCCACTGTTTCCATGGTCTACTTTATCACGTATTCCGTATTCCTTACGGTTATTAATTATTAACTAATATTATCCTGGTGATGCCATTCCTATTAACTGAATCCACTGCACATCACTGCTGCCTTCCTTCAAACTCAGCCATAGGACAAAACATCATACTGGTTATAGGCTTCGTTCGTTTGACCTACAGCAAGCGGCATGGGTTACACATGGCGGTAGGTGTGTACCCTCATTTTCACCGGTTCTCTTTCGCTTGCTTCAAACTGTGTAACTCCTGATCAGAAGAGCTGAAGCCTGCCAACTCACACGTGCAGTTGACTGTGATCACAAATGCAACGGGAGTGATCTATTAAAATGACCAGATAGAAAACGAGCCCGACGAATTCCATCATTGGATGTCACAGGTATAATCGTTCAACTGCACGACTCTGATGACTGTCCAAACTTTGTGTACGCTACGGTGAGTTCTGCATCGTTTGAACAACTGGGTCAAAGGTACGATATCTACCAGAAAGTGCTCTTATTTCTCTAAGTGCACGAGCACTCTGCATCGGAGAATTCTACGGGTTAAAACTTCCGTAATTCTGGCTGGTTTGCTGTTGTTGTATAAGCGCTCACTCCACTTCTCTCGTTCCCTTTCGTTTTCACCAGCTATTTTCTCAATCTTAACTGCAAGAGAACACCTGTCTTCATTAGCCACACTCGCAAGGACGTTGGGTTGTCTTTCAAACACAGAATATCGTCCTGCACTGTCTTTGGACGTCTACCCTTGTGTACAATAGGTCAACAGGCTGCAGCTATCATAGTTTTGATTGCATATGTCGTGGACGTTTGTTTTCACCAAGGCGAGCATGTATCACCATAGTCGCAAGCGACGGATTTGCTTGGAACGCCTTGCTAAACGCGGCTCCGGTGTCAATCCAAAAACAAAGCCGGATCAGGAAACGGTATTAATTGCAAGTCAATTTGTGAATGTACTAGATATTAATCTCCAGTGTGCCCTCCAAACACAATTTTGTATCGACGACGCCATTCGTCTTGATTAGCCAGTAACTATGGCCTCAGAATGACACATACACAAACCAAGGGCGCATTAATACGCGGCGTTTATTATGAAGCTGAGTAGGTAGCAGTCACATGCGCCGCTAGGTACTGGTGAATAGGTTGAACGCACGACCTGCACTCACACCGTTGTACCAACAATGTAAGTTCAACGATAATTTGATGGAAGTCCCCAATGTGACAGGCGCAAAGCGGCAACCATTAAATCAGGAAAGTTTACGGACAATGCTAATTTTGTTGTAGTCGGGTCTGGGCGATTACGTGAGTTACGATGGACCGGATAACATAAACTGATAATTTATAAAGCTAGTCGATGTGCTGGCACATGTGCCGAGTGAAGACGAGCTGGAACAAAACTGCGATTGGGTGAGAATGAGGTCGAGTTGGTGATAACATTAGTTTGCAATGGAATGGTTGATCATTTGCGGCAACGAGGTAAATACTGAAGAATTGCTCACAACGGAACAATGAGAAGGTTCCAGAGAAGAACCACATACTCTCAGTATAATCACAATTATACAGTGGCATAATGATGTTCAATGATATTGAGGTTAAATCTCGAGGCTTAACATGCCCCGCAGGATGACAGACGAGGGATTTCAAAGGCAAAGCATTAGACTGTGAAAACAGTGGACTTTCCGGGCAAACGTTTGCCCGTCTGAATAATTTACCTATGGTTTTATGCAACCTGAAATGTCACTGCCTTTAGATTTCCCAGTAAAATGGGTGCAAGTTGATGCTTTGTTTTCTGAATGTGTATATGCTTCATGTGCTTTATATAATTTGGTGTAACGCCACCAGCGCATTGTCGACCCGATCTTTGCACAGAGCTAATATATCGGCTGAAATAACAGGTTATAGGAGTGAACTCTATATGTGATAAACACGTAGCGAGTAGACGTCCTGTTTACACTCCACCCAGCTGTAGTTTTCTGTCAGTTTGACACGGTGGCCTCTCAGTCTGTTATTAGGGCTGAGCTTTAGCAGCTAGTAGCACGAGTGATTAGTTAGACAAAATCTGGTAAATCGTGATAGTCACAGCGCAAACGCCGGTAGCATACACTGAAAACCCAACTTCCTAGACGCTGTTCTTAAGGCAAGTGTTATAGCCCTTTGACGTTTTTCGAGACCCGATGTTATGGAATTTCCAAGACAGTAGGATCCCGCTTATGCCTCGGTTGCCGTAAACTCCAAGAGAACTTTGACTATTCAACCAAACTGGATTGACTGTTTGTGGACACGGTATCTATTTTTAAACCCTTCAGTTATTTCAGTACAGGAATTTACACATGTTTGCTTCGAATATACTAATTTCATTGTGAGACAATGTGTTTTCGGTTCGCACTCTTCAAGGTCAAATATCTTTGACAGGCTGTCGAAGATCAAACTATTACGCACGTTTCCCAGTGTCTACCCTTATTCATTACGATTACAAACCTATTCTTACGTTTTTTTGTTGTCGTTGAGTTGAATTATAGAACCACGGTGGCAGGAATTTATGTTTTATTTCCTCTGTCTTGACCCTGCGTACACTGTAGGTTCATTAGCCTGCCGTTCTTCTATCCCGTCTCGTGCGACTACTTAGATTAGGTTTTATACAGTCGTTTCAGCTGCCATGCTTGGATCAAGTATTTAACATGCGGGCGTATGTATGCAGGAAGAGGCTGGGGAAAAACTAGATGAGTCGGTGAACAAAGGTTCTCTTTAAGAGCTTTAATTTTTGGATGCCAGTTCAGATTGCCCCGAGCAACCAAGATCTTCCTGGATCAGTACACGGAGATCCTTTTCACGAACACAATGCTAGAGATTCTGATCGCCCAGTTTAAAGTGGTTCACACTTTGGTATCGTAGATGGAGTACTCGATATTTACTCACCTTGTACTGAAGACGATATTGAACTGACCACTCATGAATATTGTCGTTGTTTTGAACCTGTATGCGGTCATACGGACTTTCAATATGCTGCCAAGCTTTGATATCGTCGGTGTAAGGCAAACACACCAATCCGTTTATGAAAACCAAGAAATTATGAGGCCCCAATACCGAACCGTGTGGCGCACCACATTCCACATGTACAGGATTTGATAGATTCGCGAACTTACACTTCCTGACGCCTGTGCAAGATGAAATTACTGATCCACCCTAAGAGGGCATCACCAATGCCTTATCCTAAACCTTGGTTTGGAGGGTGCAATGGTTCACGCGGTCGGTGGTCTTAGAGGAGTCGAGGTAGACAACATCAACTCTTACACCAGCATCCTCTGTTTCAGTCTAATTGTTCTAAGCCAACAGTAGATTAGTAGTGAAGGTTCCATCAGAAGCCACCTTGCTGTTGCGCGATGTAGCCAAGTTCGTCAAAATATGACAGCGTCAGCAGTGATAGCCTCCATACATTTTGAAAGAAATGGAAGAAGAGTCACTGGACGGTAGCTGGGTCGGAGCGACCTCCTTAAAATTTGGAGCTATCATCTCATGTTTGCATGCTGCTGCAACATGCATCTCGTCCAGTCAGTGCTGGAAAAGTTGCGCCATAGGTTCAATAAATTCCTTAGTTTCTACGGCAAAAGTCTTCGGGCGGGTATCATTAATTCCGAAAGGTCGGTGTGGTGCTTAGGTAGCCGTTTTCTAATAACAGTGTTTGCTGTAAAGTGGGTATGCGTTAGTCTTGGTGGTGATGGCACAGCACATTCCAATGAGGATACCACGGAACACATTTAAAATATGGCACGTACTACTGCTTCTTTGACGGTCTGTGTGGGTCCATTCGCTGTTAGAAGAAAAGAAAATCACTTTTCCAACTTGAGAAGGCTATTCACATACTTTTACTGTAATGATTCGAAATACCTGTAGCTCGGGTTGGTAGTTAAAGTTCGGTTGGTTCTCCGAGCTGAGTTATTTAATGACAAACGTTTCACCACTTCGCTCAGTAGCATCTTCAGTGCACGGCTGCATAGAGTATAATCCGTGAGATTATACTCTGCGCAGCCGTGCACTGAAGATGCCACCGAGCGAAGTGGTGAACGTTTGCCATTAAATTACTTATACAGTAGTTTGTGATTCGATACAAATCGTGCTGTTAGAGCCTGTTGATATGCAACTTTGTCCTCGCATACTGGTTGAATACAATGCTTGCGATTCAAAACGTAGGTCTTTCAGCTGTTCGAGCTCGAGTCGATTTTGTGAGCATACCATTCTACTTTTCGAGTCGCCATACATTTTCCAGTCCTACCACTTACA